CTCAAAAATTTTTATTAGTAGATAGAATTTATGGAATCTCAATGAATACAGTTGAAGGGATGTGCCTGAAAGTATTCTTTAAATGCATTATTCATGGTATTTCTTAAATCATAAAAAATTATAATTTGTAGGGGGGAATGTCCATTTCTTCTTTCTCTTATTTGGTGAGTAATAACTAGGAAAAAAATTTAAAAGTATCATTAAGGCAAATTCATTTTTTAAAACCTCTTTGACTCTTTCAGAATACTATCTATCCTAACACTGTCCTAACGTTTTATGAAAATGCTGATATTTCTACCTTGAAGTAAGTCTCTCTGTTAAAAGAAGGGTAGATTATATATTTATCTTTATATATTTACTCATATAGTTAAATTATAGATGGGAATCCTTTCCTTACTCCATTTAGTTTTGTGGGTTTTTTTTTTTTAAGATTTTATTTATCTGACAGAGAGAGACAGCGAGAGCAGGAACATAAGCTGGGAGAGTGGGAGAGGGAGAAACAGGCTTCCCCAGGACCCCGGGAACATGACCTGAGCCGAAGACAGATGCTCAACGACTGAGCCACCCAGGCACCCCTCCAGTTAGTTTAAAAAAAAAAAAAAAAAAATCCAGAAATCATTTTGTTGCCTGTCTAGGTTGTTAAACTTATAGGTTAATAAGGTTTTACTGTAAATCTAGATCAATCTACTTAATATATAATTTTTATTTTAATTTGAATTCTACATGTTAACCATTTTCTTGTGACCATATGGGCTACTCACTACCTTTCCAAACTTTTTCCTCAAAATAAAGAAGTTAGACTGAGTAATCTTAGATCCCTTCTTAATCTCCATCATTTAAAACTGAAAGCTAGGGCGCCTGGGTGGCTCAGATGGTTAGGCGTCTGCCTTCGGCTCAGGTCATGATCCCAGGGTCCTGGGATCGAGTTCCGCATCGGGCTCCCTGCTCCTTGGGAGCCTGCTTCTCCCTCTGCCTCTCTCTCTCTCTCTCTCTGTCTCTCATGAATAAATAAATAAAATCTTTAAAAAAAAAAACAAACTGAAAGCTAAATATTGCTGCTTCTGCACACACTGTTGCATGTAGCTAATTTCAGATTCAGGTATAGAATTTTTAGGTGTTTTGTTTTTTTTTAACCTCTTAATAAGGACACAGGTTCTTACAGTAAAACTTTTTTTTTTTTTAACTCAGATATACTGTTGCTCAGATACACTGTTGCTATGCATCAATCGGTAATTAGTGTTTTTGAGCTAATGAGTTGTGAAGGTAATATTTTCTTCAGTGAATGTCACATTTAATCAGTGCTCAATCTGTGGCTCTTCTCTTTTTTACAGTGTCTAGTTTCAGTCCCTGTCGATATAGCCTGATGATTCCCAACACTCTCACTAGTTGTTGCTCCTTCTCTCTCAATATATAATAGGATATTTTTGTTTTACTTTTAAATAAAAATGGGTAGAAGATTAATCAAATGTACCATCTTCCTGAAATGTTAACTAGAGTTAGGGACATGGAAAAAAATCAGCTTTTAACACATAATGGATTAGAATGAAATTGTTTTCAAAGCAGCGGCAACTCTATTGTATATGCATGATCTAAACATTTCACACTAACCTTACATAATAGAAACATTCTTTGTTTCCCTTTTTATCAGACCAAGTAACAAACTTCTTAAAAGTGCAGCTCTCACCACTATCTTGTCTAGACATCAAGTCTACCCTACTGTATCTAACAATCCATTATTACCAACCACTTGTTCAGACTTTACATATATAGATTTAGTAAAATATACTCGTATAAGATTTACCCCTGAAAAATTTCTTATTCTCAAAACACATTAAAGATAAATCCTTTATTTTGTCCATATTTCAAGGTTTTTGAAAGTTATAGTTTGTCAAAATCTGGTCTTATTCCAGAAACTTACTGAAGAACAAGTGTAAAGTTTTCGTTTTAAGGAAGTTTCATCTGAAAGTTATAAGGTAATTTGTATCATGCTTGAAATGTTAAAACCAAGCATCTCAGTCTTTACATTGAAAAGTAAGTTAGTTATTTTATACCTAATATAAACCTGTAAATATGAAGATTATTGACCCTGTTATATTATTTTTACATAAAATAGAAGATTTGGACAATACAGATACTAAGCCTGGTAAGAACCATATTTAATATGTTTTAAGTACCAGAAGAGATGAGGCCATCTTGGACCTTATCCCTGGGGATGTTGTCACTTAAAATGTACCCAATTATAAAGCATTTCCGATATAGTTGTTCCCTGTGACATAAGCTCGAGCACAAGCTTCATTCTCTCACCTTTCCTCCTTGTCCACTGTCAACAACTGCTAGGTAAGGATTTTCTCTAGTGGTTCCAAATTATTGTCCCTTGCTATTCAGTTCTCCTGCTGTAAGTTGACATGTCTGAGTATTTACTTTAAATGACATTTGTAAGTGGTATGGCTTAGTATACACTGGATGTTTCCACTTAGTGTTTTAACTTCAGAGCCCTTTTCCTCATTTGTTAAATGGGGTTAATTACATGCTCTCCCACAGAACCAACAAAGCACTCTATGTGAAAGCCCCTTGTATATTGAAAATCACTATACAGATGTCATGGTAGTATTAAGAATTACTTTGCCTGTTTCTTTACAGCTTTGGAATTTTGACTACTTGCAAATTATTTCTTAGGAATATTATAGAGCAAATCTATAGAAGTTTAACTCTGAGAGGCTGTTTTCTTATCATTGTCAGGATTTGGGTTGTTAAACCTTTTATTCTTATGCTTCTGCTTTTTTTTTTTTTTTTTTTTCCTTTTTTCCTCCATTCATTCAAAATGAATTGTAAAAATAATTATACCATGAAATATTTGTTGGCGGGGGGGACTTTATAATTTCTCTTTTACATTTTCCATTTGGCTTTTTTTTTTATCTCACTGGTTCCAGTCTATTTTTCTAGATATAAGAAGTACCATAAGAAAATAAATGTTTCCTTCTCTTTAGAATTCCCTGCTTCCCTTCGGCATTTCTGAAACATAAATTATTCTCATATTTTCCCTTTGTCATTTTTCATTTTTAAGGTGTGATCCCTTCTGTGACATCTGCTGTCTTCTCTTAACTGTTGTTTAATTCAGATATTGTATAATCAGCTTATCTGTCTTATACATTCATGTGCAGATACCAGCGTGAGTTAGTTGATATTCTCAGTTCATTTATACAAGACATTTTAAAAGTTGCACTAAGAAAATCTTAACTAAAAAATCTACTTAAGGGTAACTTGAAATTAAACATTAGAAATAAAATGATGATTTTTAGTATCTGGTTCATTGAGACATAACTGTTTTGTTGTCGTCCCCCCCCTTATTTTTCCTCTTGTTTTATTTTGTTTTTTAAAAAACTATTAGAGGAAATTGGGCAGTTCTGTTTAGAATACTTGTTTACTTCAGTTAGCTGGGATATTATTTGTAGGATTTTTTGTCAGCCTCAGAGCTGAATTTTAAGATTTCTAATCCCTCAGTTATCGGACTTTGGGGCAAATGAGCACTTACTTCAACATCATTTCTGGTTAGCTGAAGATCAACCATGCTAAATTCTGCTATGCTTGTATTGTGCTCTACTTTTTTAAAAAAAGCACTTTAATGATGTATAACATATACAGAAAGAAGTATTCAAAGTATACAGAAAGAAGTATTCAAAACATATTTGTTAACCTGAGTGATTTCTCACAAAGCAAACACTTCTGAAAACTACCACTCAAATTGGAGTGCCTGGGTGGCTCAGTCGGTTATGCGTCTGCCTTGGGCTCAGGTCGTGATCTCAGGGTTCTGGGATCGACCCTCTGTCAGGCTCCCTGCTCGGCAGATAGTCTGCTTCTCCCGTTCCCTCTCCCCTCTGCCCCCCGCCCCCAGCACTTGTGTGTGTTCTATCTCTGTCTTAAATAAATAAAATCTTAAAAAAAAAAAATACCATTCACATCAAGAAGTAGAATATTACCAGCACCCCAGGAGTCCCTTTATACCCTCTCCCAGTTACTACCCCCTCCTTTTCCCCAAAGGTAGTAACCACTAAATTAATTTCTAACACTGTAGTATTGTTTTGTCTGTTTTTTAAACTTTATACAGATAGAATAATATGGTATATATTCTTTTGTGTCTAGCTTTTCTTTGGTTCAGCATTGTGTTTGTGAGATTCATTGATAGTGTTAACATATAATAGAGCTCCTTATGCTTTTAATTTGCATTTCCCTGATTACTGATGATGCTGAGGACTTTTTCATATGGTTATTGGCACCTCTTTTAGAAAGTACCTGTTGAGATTCTTGTCTGTTTTCCTATGAAATTGTTTTTGTTCTTTTTTAATTGATCTGCAGAGTTCTTTATATATTCTAAATACAAGCCCTTTGCTAGTTATATGTGTTGCAAATATCTTTTCCCACGTTGTGGCTTGTTTTTTCATTCTTTTGATACTTTTGGAGGAATAAAAATCCTTACTTTTAATGTAGTCCAGACTTTTTAGTCTTTTTCTTTATTACTGTTATTTGTCTCCTATTTAAGATAGCTTTTATTACCTTCAAGAAGATTCTTTGTTTTGTCTCTCACATTGAGTCACAATCCATCTGAAAATTATTTTATGTATAGTGCATATTAAATATATGTCAGAGATTCAGGTTTCATTTTTCTTTTCCCATATGGACTTTCCTTTGACCTGGAACCATTTATTGGAAAGACCATGTGTTCTTCACTGCTCTGCATTGACACCTATGTAATAAATCAAGTGTCCATATATATATATATGTGAATCTGTTTCTGGACTCTGTTCTCTGCCGTTGGTCTCTTGATCTTTGCAATAATACCATGCTGTCTTTGTTACCATAGCTTTATAGTAAGTCTTGATATCCAGTAGAGCAAGTTGTCTTTCCTTGTTGTTTTTCAAGAGTACCTGTACTTGGCGCTATGAACTTATGTAGAAATCTTAGAATCAATTTCTCAATTTCTCAGATACAACAAATAAAGCCTGTTGGGATCCTGGCTTGGGATCGTGGCTCAGGATTTCTCAAGAGGTTTCTATCAAACTGATAACGAAGGCTGTAGTCTCTGAAGACGTGACTGGAGTTGGAAGATTCACTTCCGAGCCCACTCATGTGGCTGTTGGTATGAGTTTTACTTCCTCGCCATGTGGACCTCTCCACAAGGCTTCTCATGACATGACCTCCCCAGAGCTAGAGTCCCAAGAGAGAGAAAAGGAACAATGCTTTGCTGCCTTTTTTGGTCTGTTCTCCAAGTCACATACCATCCGTTCACTTCCACCTTGGTCTATTCGTTAGAAGTAGTCACTAAGCCTAGCTAACACTCAATAGGAAGGTATTACACAAGGATGAAAATACCAGGAGATGGGGACCACTGCAGGCTATCTTGGGAGTTGGCTGCTACATCTCCCATGATCAGTGTTACCTAAAGTTACCAGTCTTACAAGTCTTTTTCAAAGAATCAACTTTTGGTTTTATTCATTTCTTTCCTGTTTTGTATTTTATATTTCATTGAATTCTGTATTATTTTCTTTCCTTCTACTTTTTTGGGTTTAATTGCTCTTTTTGAACAAAAAACTCTTGAGCTAGGTACTGATTGATTTGTAGCTTTTCCTTTAACCTATAAATTCCCTCTCAATAGGTCTTTAGTTGCATCTTCCAGAAGTTGATGTTATTTTTATTGTCATTCAGTTTAGAATATTTTTTTGGGATTTCTTCTTAGAGTTTAGAATATTTTGAAATTTCCAAATGCAGGAGATTTTGTAGTTTTTTTTTTTCTTTTTTTTTAAATTTCAAATTCAAAACCACTGTAGTAGAAAACATACTTTTTAGGATTTGAGTCTTATGAAGTTTGTTGTGACTTCCATTGTGGGCCAACACATAGTCAGTTTTTTAAGTATTCTATATACTTGAAAGGAAGGTGTATTTTGTATTTGTTGAGGGCATTGTTTTATTAGTATGACAATTAGGTAAAATTTATTGTATTAAATTCTCCATATCTGGGGCATCTGGGTGGCTCAGATGGTTAAGCATCTGCCTTCGACTCAGGTCATGATCCCAGGGTCCTGGGATCAAGCCCCATGTCGGGCTCCCAGCTCAGGGGGAGTCTGCTTCTCCCTCTCTCCCTGCCTCTCCACCTGCTTGTGCTCTGTCTCTCTCAAATGAATAAATAAAATAAATCCTCCAGTCCTTATTGGTTTTGTTTGCTTGTCTTAACAGTTTCTGGAAGAGTTGTATTAAAACCTTCAAATGTTTGTGGGTTCATGTATCTCTTTTAAATGTTTTTATTCCTTTTGAGACTATTATATAAAGTGCATATGAATTTACAATTATATCTTTCTGAAGTAGTTTTCTTCATCTCTAATACTGCCTCATATTTATCTAAGTTTTTGTGTGGTATCTTTTTGTCACCTTGCTTTCAGCTGTTCTGTATTATTGTATTTAAGTTATTTTTCTTATAAGCAGCATATAGTTGAGTTTTTCATCCATTTGGATAAAATATGTCTTTACTTGGATCATCTGGTCCATTTATATTTAATGTAGTTACTGATATATCTGTGCTTAGTTATTCTTCCTATTCTGTAGTCCTTTTTCTCTCCTTTTTTCCATCTTTGGGATTTTGAAAATTATCATTCATTTCCATACACCAATAGTGATACACTGTTTTTTTCTTGCTAGTTATACACTGTTTTACACCATGCATTCCTGATTTACTGAAGTCTAACATACACTAGTATTTTTAACTTCTTGATGATCAATGTAGGCACTTTAGAGCATTTTAACTCCATTGAACTTCCTCTTGATTGACCTATTACAGTGTGTTTTACTTCCATATATATTTTAAACCCCACGAGATACTAACAGTCTCCTTTGCAGTTAATATTCATTTAGGCTTATTGAAATATTTACCCTTTTTAGGGGCACCTGGGTGGCTCAGTTGGTTAAGCGACTGCCTTCAGCTCAGGTCATGATCCCAGGGTCCTGGGATCCAGCCCCGCATCGGGCTCCCTGCTCGGTGGGAAGCCTGCTTCTCCCTCTCCCACTCCTCCTGCTTGTGTTACCTCTCTCGCTGTCTCTCTCTCTCTGCCAATTAAATAAATAAAATCTT